CTTGGTATCTTTGACATAAACAATTAATATAGTACTTTTTTCGAGAGTTAACAATTAAATTTTTAACACACTAATTTCATTAGTTATGGAAATTTAGAAATATGTGACTTAAACTGTATTAGTAATCATTATATTAGGTCGTCAAGAAATTAATGTCGCGTTTTAGAACACTTTCATTAACCACCAAACAAAAAATGTACATCACGTATAATAGTTAAACTAACTGCTTAAAAATCATGATAGTGTAGCCTATATAATGTGTAAAGTTTAGTATACTCTATTCCCTTATAGTGATGGCACACGACGAGACACAATTCGGCATGTAATGCTGTTTGAATACAACAAGGGAGCTATGCCTCTGTAGCCACAAAGAATATCAAAGAAGTTTATGGAAATGTTTTGAACATTCATAAGTGTCAACTATGGTTCAGCAAATTTTGTTCAGGTGACTTTTAGCCTTAAAAAATGCGATGGCAGGGGCTGAAATGTTGGAATTGATATTGATGCTCTGAAGAAGCTTATTGAGTCTAACCCAAGGCAACACACTTGTGAAATGGCCCTGAAATTGCATGTCTCTCATGAAACAATACGTAAACATCTAAGGAATATGGGAAACTCCTTAAAGAAGGTGTTTGGGTGCCTCACGAACTCTCTGATGATCATCGTTTCCAACGTGTAAACGTTGCTTCGTTTCTTCTGGCACGTAATGCGCGTGAACCATTTTTGGACAGAATTGTCATCAGTGATGAAAAATGGATTCTCTATGCGAATATTAAACACCAAAAACAATGGCTCAGTCCTAGACAAAAACCACTTCCGACCCCAAAACCTGGACTCCATCCACAGAAAGTGATTCTTTGCATTTGGTGGGACATCAAAGGAGTAATTCATTTTGAACTCCTCAATCCATGGTGAACTGTCAATGCAGAGGTATATAGTCAGCAACTGGAACGTTTAAATCAGAAACGCTCTTCACTTGTCAACCGGAAAGGTGTTATTCTTCTCCTCGACAATGCACGTCCACATGTGGCACGTTTGACGCAACACAAGATTATAGAGTTGGGTTGGGAAGTTCTCCCCAACCCACCATATTCTCCAGATATGGCATCAGATTACCATCTTCATCGTTTGCTGCAACACCATCTTAATGGGAAAATGTATGCAAATGTGGTAGGTGTTAAAGAGGACATCGACATGTTTTTTGCTTCAAAGCCAAATGATTTCTTTCATCAGGACATTAACAACCTGATTGTAAGATGGAAAAGCATCATCGATAAGAATGGAAACTATTTCATTTGCTAAATGTTTTGTTTTGATACATAAGTTGTTCGGGTTTTTTCATCTAACAAAAAGCGACATTAGTTTCTTGACGACCTAATATATCCGGAGTATAAAGGTCGTTTTTTAAAACTTTTTATCAAAGTTTTCAGTGTTCAACTGCTTCTTGTATTTTTTATTCATAGATGTTGTTGACTGAGGGTTCGGGTTTGATGAAAATATTAAGTGTGAAATATAGTTGGTAAAATGCCCGTAATGAAAAGTGTGAAAATTAGAATTTATAGGAGAATGTACGCCACATTTAAAATTGAAACTGTACATACCAGACGTCTAATCATAAATATATAAATGTTATTCTAGCATCTACGTTTTCCGTAACGTAAATGACACTGAAACTTGAACCGATGTTTTTCAAGTTTCTTAAGAACTGGGAAGCGCAATTCCACAGAAACAGGTAACAGGTCAACAAAATTAAATCTACAACAAACTGAATTATACCTTGAGGAGTTCGTTTAAAAAAAAATGCGTGTTTAATGAATGTATTAAAATACAACGTTCTGTCGCTGTAAACTACGAATCATACATTGAGATCTGATCAGAAAGTTTGCTTCTTAAAGACAACGAACAAGAAGTTTCGATTACAGTAGTGTGATATGACTAATATGTTCGAATGGAAACAGATTTTCCTCTTTCTAAGAGCTTTTCACACTTACACGAGTAGTTTAAATTGGGTAGTTTGGATAGAATAAACGTGGGATGAGTACTCACATATTCGGTTGTCCATAAATTTTAGTTACACAGATTTTCTTGGTACAACAACTAGAACAACATAAGTGATATTAAAAAAGTAATGCTTCCAATAGTTACTGGTAATTTTTCGACAATGGATCGACTCTGGCTTCATTTCTTTCTTGTTTTATCGACGACAGGCTCACACCAAATAATTTCATCAGCCAATCCGTAAAGACCGTCAATGGACTGAGGGAAAATAAATTCGATATAATCAATGGTTGTAGTTTTGTAAAAAAACTAAAAGTAACACAAATGGTATAAAAGTGGATAATCAAGATTGAATCTGATGCTTTGCTTCCAACATCTATTTTCTCTTAGATATGGTCAAAGGTTACTTGTGAGTGTAAAGTACCAACATTTTCAGGGTGCTACGAGTGCAGTAGATAAGGATACGACCATGACGGGATATCAGTTACAGAGAAATCAATCGTAAAAGACGAGAATTTCCGTTGGTGCTAATAAAATTGTCAAATGACCGAAAAGATGCACTTTACCTACTGACCGGATATGTTCACAGAATCGTCTGAAGACGTGAACAGCCACGATCAGAGCAGCGAGAGCGTTACCTTTGGGGAGATAGAAATTGACTACGACCAGTATATTCGCCCCCCCCCCCCAGTGGCACAGCGGTATGTCTGTGGACTTACGACGCTAGAAATCGGGGTTTCGATACTCGTGGTGGGCAGAGCACAGATAGCTCATTGTTTTGCTTTGTACTCCTAAAACGTATTCTATGTTAGAATCTGATGCATGAATTATAACAAAGCTTTCCAAAGTAAAGGCTGTATATAATACATTTTTCGGTGTATCTATCTTCGAATCCTAATAAACAGCGCCAAAGCTGATTTTTTAACTAAAGAATTGGTTATTTTCCATTAAGTTGATGTATATTATATGTGAATTTTTCTTTCATTACCCAAAATATGGGGTCTGGCGAGAAAGAAACGCGAAACCAGTTTATCATTCGCCACTTGTCACCGAGATAGACCGGTTTCGGGGAATTCCTCCCCTCATCACGTAATTTTGCGATTTATAGTTTTAATGCCACAAAACTCTTACTATAGTGTAGTAGGTGAGGTTAATGGCTGTATGATGTGAACCTTAAAAGCTATTTCATGCAATAAATCAAAGAAAAGTCGCAATGAACTTACAATGACTATCTTACCAAACACGAACCCAATGTCTACTTAGTATGCTCGTGGAGTTTTTATTATTTTTTTTGGTATTTATCAGTTACGTTCAGTTAACAATACGTCTACGTCACAATGCAGACGTTGGGCAATAATGGTGTGACGTTGGATGATGAAAGGATCTAGTGCTTTATTAAATAATCTAAAGCAATTAAAGAGATGTAAATAATGAACCATACGTAAGGAACTACAAACTAATTGCTCTGTTACTAATCCCGTAAATTGATAAGATGTGCACGACGATTGCGGTTAAGTGCAGATAATTGGATGTTTTTTGAATAATACTCAAAAATCACGAGCTACATAAACCACTCTGTGTAGCGAAGATGATTTATTAAAAAGCCAGATATAATCTTTAATACCAATTAAGCCGAAGCTCCTTGTAAACTAAACGAAATCACTTACACTTGTTGATTTATGATGAGGATCACGTCATCAAATTACAGCAAAATATCCCCCCACCCCCACTTCCTCGTGATGTCATATAAACAAGTCTTCGAAGATTGTACTAGGCGTTCGTTATCGTACATAGGAAAATGTGGGCTTATTAGGGGTCGTTATATCGTAATTGATATTACTAAGTTTATGTTTTTATGAGTTCATCCTTGAGCCTGGTATTTTTTGAGTTGACTTAAATGTAAAATTTGACTTCTATTGGATCATAAGTAAAAGAAGGGATTGTAATATAGGCATTAGATTTTATGCAATGTATATCAGTAAAACAGATCAACTCCAGCTAATATTTTTGTTATATATTTTGTCTTAACTTGAAATATACCACCATTCTCGTGTGCAATGTATTGAGTACTGAAACAAAAGTACTCATTAACCATGTAAAAATGAATTAAGCCCTGTAAAAACTATATTTTACCAACGTTTCGGGTTACGACTCCTTTTGGATAAAGCAACTTTTTCTCTACAATTACTTACTAATTGTAGTAGTAAAAAAAAAAGGTGTTGAAACAATGCATTGAGTACTGAAGCAAATGACTCATTAACCATGTAAAAATTAATTATGCTCTGTAAAAACTATATTTTACCAACGTTTCGGGTTACGACTCCTTTGTTTTTACTACTACAATTAGTAAGTAATTGTAGAGATAAAGTTCCTTTATCCAGAAGGTGCTGAAACAATGTATTTTTTAAAGCAGCAATTTTACTGTATACACGCAGACATCAGTTATTGTTGTTTAACAAAGTATATCAAGATTATCTACTCCAAGAATTTGCTTTCGTTGTTTAAATAACGTAGGAGTTTTAAACATTTTATTTTATATATTTGTATATCTGTGAGGATAAACGTAGATATAATTTCGTAATTTTATGCATATCATTTTATATAAATGAATGTGTGTGTAAACTAATAATGCTTGAAAACGGCTTGAATGGTTGGTTGGTTGGTTGGTGCTTTATGACGCATAGTAGCGAGGCTATCTGCGCCAAACAACCGGTAAAACTATGAAAGTAAATTAAAGTAAAATGTAAAAATACAGCGAGTTAAAACCAATACATGTCGATAAAAGATTTATATAGAATTAAAAATATCTATAGTGTGTAAAAAACACACACACATACAGTCTTCTCCCTGGTCAATATACTGTTAATATATATAAAACAACAAACAATAAAAACACAACACACATACAGTCTTCTACCTGGTCAATATACTGTTAATATATATAAAAACAACAACAATAAAAACACACACACATACAGTCTTCTACCTGGTCAATATACTGTTAATATATATAAAAACAACAACAATAAAAACACACACACATACAGTCTGTCTTCTCCCTGGTCAATATACTGTTAATATATATAAAAACAACAACAATAAAAACACACACACACATACAGTCTTCTCCCTGGTCAATATACTGTTAATATATATATATATATATATAAACAATAAAAACACACACACATACAGTCTTCTCCCTGGTCAATATACTGTTAATATATATATATATAACAACAACAATAAAAAACACACACACGTACAGTCTTCTCCCTGGTCAATATACTGTTAATATATATATATATATATATAAACAATAAAAACACACACACATACAGTCTTCTCCCTGGTCAATATACTGTTAATATATATAAAAACAAAAACAATAAAAAACACACACATAAAGTCTTCTCCCTCATCAATATACTTTTAATATAAGACAATAAAATCTCTAACCTCTTCTTGTTTCAGTTTCTGGATCAACGGTGCAACATGCTTTCGACAAGAGATACTTTCTTTTTCCAAAATAAGTTGAGTATGGATATCGTCATACATTCGAGATACATCCTGAAAAGACAAGCTTAATTAATGACCTGCTCTATTAAAAAAAAACAAAAAACTTTGAATCCTACAACAGAAAAAAAATAAACATTTGGCGCATAAAACCGTAAACGTTAAATTTACCAATAAATATTTGAAATATAAGTGTAAAATGCTTGTGTTTTTTTTTTATATATAGCAAAGCCACACTGGGCTGTCTGCTGTGTCCACCGCGAGGAATCGAACCTTGAATTTTTTGCTGTCTCACCGGAAGGGACAACAGTAAAATTATTTGAAACAACAGTTTTTAAAGTTTGAACTACTGGCTGAAGGATTAAAACTCAATGAAACTTTAGTACTTTTTAGAGCATATGGTTTTATTGTTTGTTTGTTTATATTTGATTTACCAACTTTAAACAAGCAAGTTTTCAACTATTATGTAGGTCTGTTCAGAAAAATATGCTTTACTTAATATCATTATTTTTTTTGCAACGTTCTCGTAACATATGAAGTTGTGAGCCCTTGAAAACAGAAATCGTTTATTCCCAAAACTTCGAAATAAAAGAAAAATATATTTCTGAGTGTTATTAATTTTTGTATCTAGTCAATGTGCTAATCGCGCTTAGCTATCTTTATCTAGAGTTACAACAATACCTCCTCCCCACGTAGCTCAGCCGCACGTCAATAGTCTTATAACGCTAAATATCGGGTTTCGATACCAGCAATAGGCTCATTATATAGCTTTGTGCTTTACAGCAAACAATGCCCCCAAGTGGCACAGCAATATGTCTGCGGACTTACAAAGCTAGAAACCGGGTTTCGATACCCGTGGTGGGCAGAGCACAGATAGCCCATTGTGTAGCTTTGTGCTTAATTCCAAACCAACAACAACAAACAAACAAGCCACAATAATGACTATAATACAGTTGTGCTGTTTGGATAACTACCAGAAATTAAAGATATTATTCGTCGTGCATTTTAGAAGTTCATAAATAGGCTTAAAATCATTATTCAAAACAGTATAATATACTATATCGACTTGCAAAGTACTTTTATTTGATTGTCTTTAAGCCATCTGCGCTGTGCTCACAGCGGGTATCAAGCCCCGATTTTTTTGCGTTGCAAGCCCTGAAGCTTACCACTGAGCCACTGGGGTAGGAGGGGGAGGGGTAGCACTTATGAGAGTATCTCGTCACATAATTGAGGGGATGATGGATATTTTGTTCTAAGACAACACCTTACCTTTAACCCCGAAAGCTGCACAAAAACAAACTTTTTGTGAATATGTAGAAGAAAAAGTAAAGTATGCTCAACTTACTTAATCAACCTACTGCCAACTCTTGGGGCTGCTCTTTACTAACGAATATTGGGACTGACCATCGTAGAATAACACTGCCATGGCTGAGGGGCCTAGCATGATCGGCAACAGTTTTCTATCTCACGACGTCCAGCTTGCAAGTCGTGCGTCCTAACCATTAGACCATGCTAGGCTTCAGACCATATTTTAAATAAAACAATGGATCGCATATTTTGTAATTGAGACGAACTTCAATTATGAAAATCGTTTTTTTTTTTATTGTCCAACCATTTTTCAGCGTTTTCACTTTTTTTTCTTCTCACTAAAAGAATCCTTCTATGGCTCCCTCTAAATTAGGTAAATCGAGTCCTTTAGCGTTCGATTTGCCACAAAGGCCGAAATAAATAAACTTAGAATCTTCAGTGGTAAGTACTATTGTTTGTTTGTTTTTTAATTTCGCGTAAAGCTACACGAGGGCTATCTGCGCTAGCCGTCCCTAATTTAGCACTGAAAGACTAAAAAGAAGGCAGTTAGTTATCACCACCCACCGCCAACTTTTGGGCTACTCTTTTACCAACGAATAGTGGGATTGACCGTCACATTATAACGCCCCTACGGCTGAAAGAGCGAGCATGTTTGGTGGGAGGGGGATTCGAACCCGCGACCCTCAGATTGCCCTAACCACCTGGCCATGCCGGGCCAGGTAAGTACTATACCACACATATAGTTAAAAAATGAATAAAAACAAAAATTTATGTTTGTTAGTTAAGAAAGTCAAACGCAATTTTCATGCAAAACAGAACCATTTACAAAAATATTCAATGATATTTGTTGAAAGAACCAGACTTCAAAGAACTACATCATACAAGTATATTTGTTACCACCTTTTCTTCAGAGGATATTTTTATTCAAATAATTAAATCTATATCTCATACTAGCTACGTAATAATTATTTTAGCATTGTGCGCTATAATGGGACTCGGTGATTCGATTTATAAGAAAAGGTTAATGTTTTATACGTATATATATATTTATAAGTTACTACATATATGATAAAACACGTGTATAAGAAGGGAAAATATCTTGTAAAACTATGATGCTCCAAATTAGAAAAACGTCACCTGTTCTTTCTTCGTCATTTCTAAATTCTTATATGTCTGATAATCGAAGATTCTCACGGCAGTATCTTCGTTTTCGTCTACTCCACGTGACTACGAGAAAAAGAAAATATCCAAAAAATAACGGTTTTTACTATATGGCTATATATAGTGCGTGGGAAAGGGCTATAGGGGGATCTATCCCCCCCAATAATCATCATTGAATATTTTTTATTATTATTAGTTATCACGTTTGCACATTCCATCATTAGCATTGAATTTATATATATTTTCCCTCCCTTTGAGGGTGGAGGGTCTCAAACACACAAGAAAAATAATATTAGCAGAATTTATTTTTTTCACATGCCCCCTGGTGATGTGAAACTTTTTGACTCTGTAAACATGTTGTAAAATTCCTTGCCAACGTCTACAGGAAATATACTTTTTCAAACAAATTCAATAAATATTGCCATTTGATTTACCAATATGTGGCAAGAGAAGAGAGGCTTTGAAATATTTCTTTGGAAGTGGAAGTTGATTTTCAAATCTGGTCCTAAACAATCAGTAACTTACGTCGTTGCTGAAATAAATTGGACAATCAAACCTTTTAATTCTAACAACATATATTCAAGGAAATACGATAGCTTACAAACGCTTATGCTACGACAAGCAGTACAAAAACCGCAACAACACGTAATTGTCTTTTAAAGTCCTCCTGAAACATTAATAATTTAGGCAGTTCACTTTGATCTTTGAAATATCATAACACTTAAAATATTACTGGTTTTGAACGCCATATGTATATACGAGTGAACAAACAAGATTACTTGGAAATAAAAAATTATGTAAACAAGTGCATATGTGCAACTTTGCGTCTAAGATTGTGAGAGACGATTTTTCACCGTCGTCCACCTTGATTGAGAAGGTTTAGACAGAAAAGAGTATAAGTGAAAGGCGTTATTAATGGGGCGCATCTATCTTTGGGCAACGTTTTGGGCAACGTTTCGAGATTTTAGCCCAGTTCTTCATCAAGCTCTAGTATTGGATCTTGGTATGACCTATCGCGAGTACAAATGGACCAGGATTTGTTCTGGTGCTGGATAATACCTGGAGTAATAATGCAAGGAAAATGATGGGCTACTTTCAAGAAGAAACCAGCTAGAAGTTTTGATTTGAATTCCTTATACGTCCACACCTTAGGCCACCATATAAAGTCACAGAGCTTACCATTACTTGAACAAGGAACAGAAAACGTTCAAATAAAGTACGCCTCGCAGATTCTGAAGCTATCTCAGTATCAGTATGATATCTTTCAGAGTTCAGCCAGTTAAACCCTAACTATGATCATTTCGAATTTGCACGGACTTATGTTTCATGATTTATTGTCAATAAATGTAATTCACTATCTGTATTCACCGAATACGTGGTGATTCTTGAAATCTAATCTAATTTCAACTTTATATAATTGTCATTAGTTTGGTTGAAGAACAATTTTAATCTCGCGCCTTTTATAATTTTTGTTGTTTTGTTTTTGGATTTCGCGCAAAGCTACACGAGGGCTATCTGCGCTAGCCGTCCCTAATTTAGCAGTGTAAGACTAGAGGGAAGGCAGCTAGTCATCACCACCCACTGCCAACTCTTGGGCTACTCTTTTACCAACGAATGGTGGGATTGACCGTCACATTATAACGCCCCCACGGCGAGCATGTTTGGTGTGAGAGGGATTCGAACCCGCGACCCTCAGATTGCGAGTCGAGTGCCTTAACCACCTTGCCATGCCGGGCTTATAATTTTGTAGTTTACCTGTGTGTGAATAAGCCAGCAGGTTGTTCATACCTCAGGAAATAATATATAGACATATGTTTTGTGAAATGATTTAAACAATTCACCCATAAAAAGACTAACTTTATGTAAACTTATGTCAAATAACATCCCCTGCCAGGTACCATGGTATCTTTTATTTCTTTTTTTTTTTTTTGCTTAGTTTATGAAAAATAATAATAGCAAACGTGTGAATGAATGCTCACTTCTAAACGCATGTTTAGTGTCAGTTATATTATCTGGGGAAAATAAAAACATCTGAATAACCTTTCTGAACATACCCGAATGTCAAATTTTTTAGTATAAAAATAATAATACAAACGTGTGAATGAATGTTCACTTCTAAACGCATGTTTAGTGTCAGTTATATTATCTGGGGAAAATAAAAACATCTGAATAACCTTTCTGAACATACCCGAATGTCAAATTTTTTGTATAAAAATAATTACAAACGTGTGAATGAATGTTCACTTCTAAACGCATGTTTAACGTCAGTTATCTGGAAACGAAACATCTTAACATCTTAGCCAGAATGTCACGTTAATTTGTAACAAAGAGAACGCGAAACTCACCATTACTGAACGGATTATGTCAACTGAACCGGGTTTCAATTTGTTGGTGGGTTTTTCGTCGTCGTCTTCCTTTACGTTTTTTCTAATTATAAAACAAAATAGAATAAAAAGATTATAAAATCAATGAACTAATATTTGCTTCCATTTTCCGCTAATAATGTATCCATACATGACAGAGAGAAAATAATAATCACTCAATAGTCTTTACCACTATGGAGAAGGTTCCGTTTTGGAAACATACACTAATACAATCTAATAACCTTCTTACAGATAATTCCGCCTTTTCTTGTTTACCGGTGACTCGTAGATAAGCTTACAATGTTAAAATACGTGGTTCGATCCCTGCGGCGAACAACCTATAAGTTTTATAACTTTATACTTTTGGCAATCTATGTACGAACATTGAAATAAATGGGCAAGTTTTAGTATACTTAAATCATCCTCCAGCTATGGCGCCCTATACCTCTACGGTCCGCCGGTGGGACAATGGTGAGTTTTCGGACTTAAAACGCTAAAATCCGGGGCTAGATTCCCTACGGTGTACACGGCAGATGACTCAATGTGGCTTTGCTTTAGAGCAAACAAACAACCACTCCTATGTAGACGAATGGTCCTTTTTTTAATCTCATTTGGCTTCATTGTTTTACGATTTTTGTTTCGAGAAAATAAAACATTAATTTTTGATTTGAAAAACTGTTGCATCGGATGATAAAATGCCAGTCCTCCGATCCTTACGTGTGCGCTCTTCACAGTTGGTTGGTTGGTTGGTGTTTTATGGCGCAAAGCAGCTAGGCTATCTGCGCCAAACAACCGGTAAAAGCAATGAAAGTAGATTAAAGTAAAATGTAAAAAAAAACAGCGAGTTAAAAATCAATAATGTCGGTAAAAGATTTATATAGAATTAAAAAGATGTATAGTGTGTAAAAAATTAAAAATACAATCTAGTCGGCCAGTGTCACCATTACCAATGACACTGTCCAGCGTCAGGGGTAAACGTTTAGAAAACATGTGTCCAAAACGGTGCCGCCGCTCACGGTCGTAACGTGCTTGCAGTGGAAGCAACCATAATAATTATACAAAACACAATGCCATTGGGCAGATCTCTGTCTGAAGAAGGAGACCCCAGTGATTGATGGCGTAACCGAATAATGGTTCTGCACCTCGGAGCCAAAGCAGTCGCTGGAAGCGATTATGTGGACGGTGACAGGAATAGACGTAGACTTGTCAACTCTTGCATCCACAGAGAGCAAAATACTTTACATGGTATGAGAAAGGCTCTGATGAAGGCATGGAAAGGTCTGTCTGAACTGTAGCAGTGGAACAGAGTGCAGCAGCATATATCCGAGATGCAACAGGGGACAATAACTTTCGAGCCTCAGGGTAAGAAATGTTATGGACAGTCCTCAAGCGCTGTACCTATTTTTCATCCACCAATTTAGGGCAAGAACGAAAGTTTGAGGGGGTGGGAACCGCCACAATTGACCAATGAGGGTCCAGTTGATAAATTCGTTGGCATCATGGTCTTTGCCACTATAACAACCACGCATCAAAGAACTACGACAAAATGCTTTTGAAAGTCTAAACTGCTGACACTAGAAACACCAAAGAGAATTAGGAATATAAGGCTGTACCTTATAGCTCAGATAACCTGCCTTGACAGTGGCAGGCGAACATGGCAATGGAAACTTCAATGTAAGAACATTGGTAGGCAGAGTAACTCCAATTTTGCGAGTGGAGATACGTCATACATTAGAAACTCCTTGGTTGGAGAAAGCAACGAGCATCTCCGACTCGGGGATGTTCCTTAAATCCCTCTTAACGGTAACTCCTCGTGAGGAATTCAAAGTAGCATGTGGAGTAACCTCAATAGGAATATCCCCATTGGCCTTTGATTTCAGGAGGAGTTCACTATGTTTTGATGTAGAATCTTGACTGACTTTGAACAGCCAGCAAGCCCCTCTAATCTCTTCTGAATGGAAAAGGGAAAATATTTCCCTAAAGGTTTGTCAGAAGAATGAAGTAACGAGGAACAGGCACAGATTGGGGTGGTGCCTGCTGTTCAGAGTCTTCCAAAAGTGATCGCTTTTTTTTGGGGGGGGGGGTGCAGATACATATAAATGGAGAAACTTCAGTGCCCACTGACCCCACCCACCACGGAGTCAGTCTTACAAGGGGATGCACTACAATGCTAAACTAGAGCATTGTAGAGATGGCAGGGATTTGTGAGCAATATACTCAAACACCAGTATCAGACAAAATGTCCACAACATCCATTGAGAAAGTCTAAAACTGGTACTCGGTTGACCCTAGCCCAGCATGATCAGCCAATTGACCTTGGGGGAGCCACTCCAAGGCCACTTATTTACAGGAACTCAAGGCCAAAGTGGTGTGTTGAAGTGCCTCCAATATAAACTGACCCATCAATAACACCCTCAACCACCAGGATCGTCTCCTCCCTTTCACGGGATGCCACGCACGGCAAACACGTGGGTGGATGTTCGGATCCCAGAAGAGGTAAACTGAAAATACAGGATCTTCCCCGGGCGGTTCCCTCACCACGTACAGGAATCCACCTCAAGGTGCGCAGATAAAGGACAGACAACTAGAACTTTAAAATATTTGTAGGTTTAATTATTCAAGTCATACCTTACTTCGGAGAGCTACCCTTAAGCTATCTTTATCCTTCGTCCCTAGTTCTTTTCGTAGCTGTACATCGTCCATGACACATCGCGTAAGAAGTAACTGTCGATCTTTCATGTGCTGTTTCTGACGACGAGCACAAATGCGGAGCTGTTGATTCCTCTGCAAATATATACGAGAACAAATTTCAACTTTTAGAAGTTATGTTATACTTGTGTGAGATATATAGAGGATTTTTTAGTTGTTTGGTGCTTTATGGCGCAAAGCAGCGAGGCTATCTGCGCCAAACAACCGGTAAAAACAATGAAAGTAAATTAAAGTAAAATGTAAAAATACAGCGAGTTATAATCAATACATTTCGATAAAAGATTTATACAGAATTAAAAATACCTATAGTGTGTAAAAAATTAAAAATACAATCTAATCGGACAGTGTCACCATTACCAATGACACTGTCCAGTATCAGGGGTAAACGTTTAGAAAACATGACATGTGTCTAAAATGGTGCCGCCGCTCACGGTCGTAACGAAGGCACGACAGTATAATGTGGGCTATTGTGACTTGAGTGTTACAATGGTTACATATCGGGATTTTTTAGTGTCTGCAGAGCATTTTATTTTTGTCGCTGTATTTCTATTCTTGGTTGGCGTTTTTTGACGACAGTCAAATGTGGGCTGTTGTGACTTGAGTGTCACAAAGGCTACACATTGGTGGGTCAGTACCAGATAAAAGAAAACGATGAGTTAAAAACTGTGACCAATGCGTAGCCTAACCAAGACAATTTCCTCCATTCGATCCCCACGGAAACAAGACGACCCAAAAGCTAGTCTGTAGATTTGCGCTTAACAACAAAGAAATACCTTTTTCGCTCGTGAGAAAGAAAGTGGCAGTCTGAATACACTCAAACTTTTATGCTTTTTTGCAAATTTGATTAATTTTTAATTTGTACAATTCATACTTTGTGCAATAATTTAGATATTTAGTTTAGGAACACCTAAGAAATATCATGTAAATAAAAAAGGCATTCTTCATTTGCGTCTATTCCACCTTAGTTCACGTGTTTTAAATGCTGTAAATCTTTCTTTGATAATGTAGTTACTGGCTTTATAACAAATTAATTGAGTGAAATTTATGGTTAAGCACACACATACCTACTTCTAATCTACTAATATAATATAAAACTAGTAATAAATCCTTAGAAAATAAATTTTAGTTAGCTATATTTACTCTTCCACCAACAATATGACTCCAAATCGACTATGCTAAAATGTGTATTTAAAAATTATTTAGGCCTATTACAACTTACATGATACTCCTCCAGAAGGCGCTGTGTAAGAACTTGCATAAACCCAGGAGCAGTTGGATTAATCTCTACATCAGGCCCCAACAGATTTTCTAATCTTTGTTGAATAAGACCTTGATAATCAAGCATGGTGAAACTCTCTGCTACAGGAAATATGAATTATTCCTAAGCTCGTTTTAGCACTTTGTATTGAAAGACTTAAATAATACTAGATTGGATAACAATTTCAGTGTATTAAAAATTAAATGAAGTTAAAATTACACTAAATTTTGGTTTTTTGGTTTTCAACACTTACATTTTACAAAATCTCTCGTCCCCTGATGGGTCGGCGGTAAGTTTACGAACTTACAACGCTAAAATCTGGGGTTAGAATCCCCGCGGTGGACAAAGCAGATAACCCAATGTGGCTTTTCTCTAAAACAAGCAACAAGAAAGAAAATCTGTGTCCATTGCTTATTTTAAACAAACTGTAGTTTAGTTCCTTTTAAAATGACAGAAGAGCCTAAAATTCATGCTACGTCAAACCTACCTGTTCATTTCTCATGTAAACGGTCATTTTCAATTTACTTAAGATGGTATCGTGCGTATCTTGAAGACAACGCAGTGTATTTAAATATGTTGGTTTTAGCATGTCTAATTATTCTGTACGGTTAATAAAGATTAAAATACTGAGCATAAGTGGCTATTTTTGAGTGTCTTCACGGCATTGTATAATTCCCAGATTTACTATTTCATGGGAAGGCATGTTCATAAGGGCATCATTTTGTAAATTAATTCTATGTACTTAAGACTAGAGCAATTTACATAGTAATGTTCGTTTGTTTGGTTGGTTGGTTGGTTTAGAGCAAAGCCACATTGGGCTATCTGCTGTGTTCACCAGGGGGGAATCGAACCATGGATTTTAGCATTATAAGTCCGGAACTTACCGCTGTCCCATAGGGAGGGGGGCACGTGTTAAAGAACTTAAATATGTTAAAATGTTGATCCACACTGAGCTATCTGCTGTTCCACAAAGGGGAGGGTTTGTTTTTTTTGTTTTCTTCGCGCAAAGCAACACGAGGGCTATCTGCGCTAGCCGTCCCTAATTTAACAGTGTAAGACCAGCCAACGTCAACTCTTGGGCTATTCTTTTACCAACGA